CGGTGGGAGAGGCGCGGGTTGCCTCACAGTCACCCCGAAACCGGCGAGCGCGGCCGCACCTCAGAGATTGATAAGCAGCTGCGAGCGTGAGGTGTTCCTGCATGAAGCAGGCTGCCATGTGGCCTCCTCAGCCCAGCAAGGAGAAATAAAAGCGAGAGGAAGAGAAACGGGGCGATGGTTACTCCCAGCTGAGGTGCTGCAGCGGAGGAGGAGGCTGGCCCCGAAAAAACCAGCCCCACGCTGTTGTTTTCCCATCAGCACAAGCGAAGGAAACGGGCTGGACCTGTGCTGACCAGCGGTATAGGCACGAGCATCGGGAGGTCCCGGCCGTGGCGGCAGCGGGAACATCGCTAGCAGACCTGGGGCAGAAGCCGCGGCCTGGTGCCAGCTCCACCATCTCCTGCCCTCCCTGGGTCTTGCTTATTTAAACTGAAGTCCCATGGCACATTTTTTAATTTATTTTTTTTTTAAGGTTATGGTCTGGTAGATCATCTGTTCTCAGTTGTTTCTAGCTGATAAAGTTGCAGAAAAGCCAGAATTTTGTTTATCCTGTTAGCAAAACAGCTGTATCCGTCAAATGAATTTTGCTAGTGCAGACCAAGAATTCCTAACATTTTTTTTCCCCTGCAAATTCTTCTCTCCCTCCCCCCACAGATATTCCCCACTCACACGGGGTGGGGAGGGTATGGTTCACACCATTTAGTTGATGAGCAAACCTGAGGAATATGTCATGGGAGAAGCTCCTGCCAGAAGGTCAGGGCCGCAGCTGGAGCAGCAGCAGGTCCAGAGGACAGAACAGCACCGAGGATACTGCAGCTGCAAAACAGCAACAGCACAGTGAGACGGTGACCGCCAAGTCAGCCCCAGGAGCCCTGCACCGTGCTATCTGCAGGTCCAGGCACCCAAGAGTTCTTGCTTTCTTGGCTGTTTGCCATGTCTTGCAGTCTGAGCCTTCCCTTGCAGCTCCACTGCACTCCCCTCCCTGCCCCAGCTATCTCATCTGCTCCTCTCTGCATCCTGTCCAAATCCCTTGGATGGCTCCGTTTCGATTCAGATGGCAGATTTATTCTGAAGAGCGAGGATACAAATGGCATCCGGAAAGTCAGGGAGATCTGTAAACTTAGCAGACCGCTAACCCTCTTACTCCAGTCATGCCTTGGTCGTTAGCCAGTACCTGCTGTGCTGACGAGGGGCATGAAGTTCTCAGCGAACCAAGAAAAGATTCAATGGCACAGCCCAAAGGTTAACTGAACTGGCAGGAGTAACCAGTTCTATTTTTGGCGATGCCCCGAGCCAACAAATTACCTTAGGCAAGCTGCTTTTTTGTGCTCCCGGTGTCCTTTATCAAACTGAGGTTGCATCAGTACCAAGGTAGATGCCACGGTGTTTGCAAAACTCCCATTGGCTCTGGGACCAAAGGGGACCACGTCACCGGTGAAGAACCAGACAAGAGCAAAGGTAGGTGCAGATGGTCCTCGGGCAACTCTGCCACGGGAAGGAGAGGGACCGTTCTCACTGCCTGCAGGGGATCAGCTTATACCTTGGCGTAACTACAAGAACCCTTATTACTGATTTGTGATAGCCCAGCCCAGCCCTTTATAAACAAACATGGAGTTGTTAAGCTTGAACTAGCGAATGCACCAGAGTGACTGCACTCTTTGTCAGGTATCGCCTTTGCTGGGTCTGTATTTACTAGCAATTAACTCGACTGGAGTCTCAGGGTTCTCATTTTCTAAGGCATGAAGAGCAGGGTGGCCCAGGAAACTCCAGGAAATATTAACACAGTACAGAATCGCTCGCCTGGGGTGAATTTTAGCAGTGGCTGGCTAGGCCAGGAAAGACTGGAAAGTCTTTGCAGGTATCAGTTGTTCCAGTCACCAGCTCGTGACTGATCTTACTGAATTTTCATGCCATGAAAACTGCAACCAGCATGAGTTATGTATACTGGTGCATGGGGAGGGGAGGGAAAAAAAGCATTAAATACATGTCTTAGTCCTGCATTTGTTGGCTACAGGGAGGAGAGAGGCAAGTGAAGAAAAGTATAATAGTATCTACTGCCAGCATAGACATTTTCAGTCTCTGGGACTTCAAAGGGAATAAAGGCCAGTTTCTCATCTGACGCCCAGCAACATAGCCCTGCAGAAGAAGCCATGCCCTGTGGCGTGCTTCCTGCCAAGATCAACATCCAAAGCAAAGCTGTGTATTTTACAGTAAAGGGCAGATAAGCAAGCATAGTGCCTGGGTGTTTGGCTCTGTAAAGCAGACCTAACAATTGAAATGTGTTGTCTAAATGATCAGGCCACATTAGAGTGTTAATATAGATTATCCAAATAAAATAAATTGTCAAGTACTAGTATAAAGTTATAGTTTGACACAGGTTTGAAGAACTGTCACATCTGCTGCCCTTACAAAAAGCAGGTCACGAAGTGTGGGAGCTGGGGAAGAGCTTTTGGTTACAGAGCCCAGAAGATACCGGGCAAATGCGGAGTATTCAAGAAATGCTAAAAAACCTTCCCCTTTGAAGATGCCTTTCCATTATAGAGTCACTCTTAACAATCAAAGTTTGACGTTACCTTTAAATTGTGCTTGTGACGCGAGATTGTGGGAGAGGGGGAGATGTGTTGATAACACAGGCTCGACCTCGAAGGGAGGACCAAAAACTCTGCAGAATCCATTTTGTTCCTGTTGGTAAATTTTATGGTGAGGATACCCAGATATTGCAGCGAGTTGAAAATGCAGATACATGCATGATTTTGATAAAACCTCGCGTTAACGGTCTGCTTGGATCACTTACAGTAGGACAGCAGCATCTTGGTTGTCTATGCCTGGGACATTACAGCTTGTTGACTACTGCGATATAAGTTACCTTTTCCTGAGTGTAGACACACTCCTGGAGGTGTTTAAAAGACACGTAGACGTGGCGCTTAGGGACACGGTTCGGTGGTGGACTTGGCAGTGCTGGGTTAACGGTTGGACTCGATGATCTTAAGGGTCTTTTCCAACCTAAATGATTCTCTGATTCCTTCATGTTTCTACCCTGCCTTGACATTTGCAGGCATTTAACATGCTGCAGCAGAAGACTAAGGTGGAGGAAGATGCCATCGAGGACAGAGGCGTCCCTCACAAGACAAGAGCGATAGGGTAAGTGCCTTGACAAGGCCCAGGATAAATGCAGACTGGGGCCGTGGTACTTCAGGCTTGTGCATGTCAAATCACCCGACTGTGGTTAGAAACGCTGGTGTACAGACAGCACTCTTCTTCCTGACAGGGGTTAGTTTGTCGGTGAGGCACAGGCTGGCTGCTGCTGAGAGGTCTGTTCTTCACCTCGGCCACAGGTTTCCTGTGACCTACAGAACATCACTCTGCTTTCTGGTGAAACAGAAGAAATTCCATTTGCAAGTTCTTTCCTATCTCAAGCAAAGAATCGTATCTTCATAGAGCTGTGGACACAGAGAGAGAGTGGCAGTAAGTTTCTTCTTCAGCTTAATCTTTCCCCATATGGAACAAGTCATATCTGCCCACCTAAATGACCCAAGACAGTTTACACAACTTTTCACTTTTATCACCCTTCCCATCCAGCCCTGGCATTGGATCTGTAAGCTATTCTGGGCTAGCATTCCTCCGATAACGCTCACAAATTTCCAACTCCAGAGTCACTGGGAGCAAGTGACTCAACCCGAGATGTAGTTGCACCTCAGAACATTGACTCGGGGGGGGGGGGGGCAATACACTAGTTCAGAAATTTCCACATGAAGCGCAACAAGAGGAAAATGAATGCACTGAGAAAATATGCTGGTAAATATGCAGTCACAAGGAAGGAAGGGAGACAGAGGAGTCTGTCTGTAGCGTAATCATTTCTAAACCTAAACAGGTTATGTCATCTTTCCCACCAAGGACTTGCAGCATCTTTCTGCTCATGTGAAAAGGTCTACAGCAAATAGGTGTAGGTGTCTCGCGGGGGGGGGGAAACCCAAACCCAAAACAAAAACAAACCCACACACAATAAAAGAAGACACACACACACACTAAAATCCCACACCAAATTAAGTTCTAGATTCATATCCAACTCTCAGCTCTCACAAATCAACATAGCTTCACCAAAGCTAAGGAGTCTTCGCCAGAACACACCAGCTGATAACTGACCTTCATCTGCCTCAGGCTGTAATAACATGACTCTTCTGCAGTTTTGTTCTCGTAAATAAAACGGGAGCAAGCAGTATTTGCCCTGTCTGTCATAGGCACAAACGCCTTTTTATTTTTTTAATAGTCATTAAAACCTACACATTAGTGGCTTTTGAAACACTGCAGAATAGGCAAAGGCTGTCCGTTGTTTTACACAACGTGCAAAGTATAGTATGTGGCATACGCATTTATGAAGCCTGAAAGGCTGTGGAGAATTAGAATTTCTAGCCTATGTAATAATTTAGTTTGATGCTAGAGATCACCTCTCTTTGGAGGTCTTGCCTATAGCGTCTGAACATTAAAGCTAAAACCAAATTGCAATGCTATTTATGCCCACAGGTAATTTCACTTTTGAAAAAGAATTTGATGGAAAGCCATTTGCTCCAAAATGAGATGCATACAGAAGCTACATGTAGAAGAGTTGTTTCCAGCAGCTCAGAAAAAAAACCAATTGCATCTCCAGAACTTCAATAAGCAAAAGAATTATATCTTTTCTCTTGCTGCTGTAGGACGAGAACAGCAGGCTTGTTTCCCCATTCCCACGCCAAGGGACCTTATTGCAATGGTGTCACAATGTTTACCGGGCAGATCTAGCCCAAAGCAGAACAAGGCTGTGCCCTGTCTGTCCTCCCCGTTTAAACTGTGTTGTAACCAGGGGAGGGATGAATGTGTAACCAGAGTAACAGATAGCAACACGGAAAGATGCTCTATCACTTGATTACATGGGGTCCAGATACCATTCTGTGTGCTGTGAGACAAGACAAGCAGAGAAGTTGCTGATGATGGTTGACTGTCGTCGGAGTGTGGTGCAAGACCCATGCACCTGTAATTCAGTCTGAAACGTTAATAATCCACAGGGCTTCTTAATATTTTTCTGTGTTTTTAAACATAAACTCACTGTAGTAAAAAATTTACAGAACTTTAAAATGCGCACAGTCGTGAGCATGTTGAACTTCCCATATGAACAAGCTGAACCTTTCTGTTTAACATTCAGGTTCCAAACTTCAGAAGACTTCAACTTTTTGTCCCAGTTCAGGATGGAAGAAGTGACCTGAAACATTGAAAACATTCACAAGGTAGGCAGATAGAAAGTAGTTGTCCTCCCACGGTCTGGTTTTCAGAATAATTCCACCCCAGCTTACCTGGTCAGCATGCGAGTTACGCTGTGTCCAGCCGTGTGGTCTTTGCCCTATTGCTCGTCCGTCCCGCAGGACAGCCACTGCAGCACGACTCCCAACGGTGATTTTTTTTGTAGAAGAAAATTGTCCCTCATCCGATGGCTCGAGGAAATTGTGCTATAGCAGTTGAAGTAGTTGTTGCCTCTCATTGACCCCCTTTACCTTAGCTGCTGCAGTTCACAGTGCCACAGCTCAGACTCACTTCACTGCTGGTCGAGGCTACAAAGCCAGGCTTTGCATGGAGGTGGCCAAAGCAAAAGCACACGCACCTTTCTCTTGGCACTGCCGGGCAGATGATGGCTTTTGGCAGAGAGTTGGAATGGAAAGGTGAGGACAGACGTGGCAGTTCACTACAGCCTGTCCATGAAAACCTTAAAGACTCAGCTGTACCTCTCTTAAATACAGCTGAAGCTGTTTGCTGTGATCCTTCTTCCAGCAGGCCGCTGGTACAGAAACCCAACAGCTCTTCCCACCTACTGGAGTGCAGAGTCAGGCATCTTAAACAGCATATCACACCGCTGTCAGATCCAGCAGATGAGGAGTGAAGTTCTCATCCCAAGCCATACCTGCTGATTATCAGCCCCATTGATTTGCTGATGCCCAAATGTTTGCTAAATCATTGCAGGCAAAAGCAACTGATATGGCTTAAATCATGTACATAACTTGTCTAAATTAGGGTAGCTGATTTTGCCTGATAGCAATTTTAGTGATCATTTCTCAACTTCACTGCTGGTAACATTCACCTCCAAAATGCACGAGAAGGTGGTGTGAATTTAGGGCTGTAAGCTTTCCACCAGCATATCTGTATCTGGGAGGCAAACAGCCTTAGTGTAAGCCGCAGAAGGAGGTGGTTTGAGCTAGTGACTGATTTTGCATGGCTGCAGACTGGGCAGCGGTCACACATGCTGCTCTGCCAGAAGAGAGGTGGGGAAAATAACCCCACCTATTAGGAGACAACAAACTGATGAAGGTGTAACATCTTCAACCAGAAGTTGTCTGTTGCTAATGTTAACTAGAAAAAAGAACCCCAAAACAGGACTTTTTTGCCAGCATAGCTGCATTCACGCAGTGCATGTTTGGAAGCAGTGGTAGTAACAGCTTGGAGGTAAGGGGTTTGTGTTTGGGGTTTCTTTTTCTGCACTCCCAGAGAACATTGCTGCACTGACTAAACATGGAAATATAAACTAGTTCCTCCTTGGCCTCACCCCTAGCAGGTATCATTGATGATCTCCAGGAACCTCCTGGATTGCTTGTGCCCTGCTGCGCTATCCCTCCAACAGCTCTCAGGACAGTTGAACTCCCCCAATGAGGACCAGGACCTGCAAACACAAGGCTCACCCATCCCCAGATGAGCTCCTTCCTGAAGAGCCTGTATTCCCCCATTGCAGCAGTCTGGTCATGGGAGCCATCCCACCACGTCTGCATGATCCCAGCCAGGTGATAGCCCTGTAGCTGCACGCAGGTCTCCAGCTCCTTGTGTTTATTCCCCGTACTGCTGGCATGACTGCACAGGCACTTCAGAGCGGCACCCCGGCACGTTGACTTCCTAGAAATGGTTTTGGGGATTTCTCCATGACGGTGCCTTATAAGCACTTCTTTGCTCACATGTAGATGTTGGAAGTGACACCACTTAAGCCGTTTTGTTGATTTTGTGATCCCTTCCCGTCACATCACCCAGGCCCTTTGCTTGTTGACCCTGTCATTCTGTCTGTCATTCCCTCCCAGGCTGCTGGTTACTGTCCCTCCCCCTGTTCTTAGTGCCTGTGGTTATCCGGGAAACAGGGGGAGACTCATTTAAACTCACTGCACTAGAAAAGAAGTTCTGCATTGTACAGAAATTCCACTGAAACCTAACGCCAGTCATTGAGAATTTGATTACACAGATGTTGCCTCCATACAAAAGTTGTGTTGACATAAGCTATATTGATTTAGTTATATCAATATGACTATCTTTGATTACCTCTAAGTTGTGGACACATCCTCCCCTAGCTTCTGTGAGCTGAGACGGCTACAGCTCACTGCAGGGAGTGGCACGCAAAACCCCACATACACTGTTTTTTCCATGACTGTATGCAGTGTTTTTTGCAGAATTTCCAGACTGCTACAGCCAAACCAAACAGATAATGCTCCAGATAAATGCTTAGTCCTTTAATTCTGCTAAAAGGAAATTTACAGGGTGGGGGGAAGAGAGCATTTGGGTTTCTAGCAGTGCTAAAAGCCTGTTAGGGGGAAGACAGGAGGTTGAGAAGAGTAACTTCTTCAAAGTCCACGCCCTCAAAACGGCAAGGCGGGAAGCCTTTGCCGGGGACTGTTGCGATACTTGCTGCCGCCCAAGGGAGATAGAAGAAAGGGCAAGGGAAGGACTGAACACCCTTTCTTCTTTCTCCCATCTTCAGCACTCACCTGTTTGCTTTCAGGCTGGGTAAGGCTGGAAGGAAAGCGGTGCTCTGGTACGCTGTCAGGAGGGGACAGAGCATCCTGTAACACTGGAGCAGCGGCAGCCCGGATTTCATTTTCATGCTGAGGAGACGCGTGGGCAGAGGACGACATGTGCTACGATGCCACTGGGAAATTCCAGCATGGCCTTGGCACAACCGCATTCAACAGATTTATCCTCTTAAGCCCAGCCAAAAGCACTGAAGAGGGTTGTTGGAAAAAAACCAGCAAATTCAGAAATGTATGATGCAGAAGACAACACTCCTGGGGCCGTGGTTGGAGCAGGCTTTCACCCAGCATTATCGGTAGGCTGCAGGGCTCGAAGGACATGGCAGCTCCATGCGGGAAAAGCCATCGGTTCAGTTTGTTTCAGCACCCCTGAAGAAGTTTCCTCAGGAGCAGCGGGTATGGAGATTTAACTCTGTTCTCAAGTGCTTCTCTGGAGCAACTACCTGCCTACAAAAACAGAACCTATCCTATCTGCGTCACAATTTAAAATCATTGTTAAGTTAAATTTTATTGCTGATACAGTAAAAGAAAATCCATTATCGCAGTTTAGACAATCTTCTTAGCTTACATTGGATGATGCTGTCTATACTTTGGTAGAGCGGACACAGAGAGCCACTGGTTCAGGCTCCTTATATTTTGCACCAGAGGCACCGGGATCACTCAGCAGCAAAATACAGCACGGAGAGGGGGGAACCTGACACAGAAGGCTTTCAGGTAGGAAAGTGCTGTGTGGGTCGGTACCTGTATAAAAATAGGGATTCTCCCCATTAAAACTGACTGAACACAAGCAAACTTTTTGTTTAAGCAAAAAAGCCCAAAGGCAATTTTTTGTTTTGGTTTGGTTTTAATCCTCTGGGAATTTTTTCATTTTTTCAGTAAAACAATTCAAGGGAATAGCTTCAGTTAAGGTTTCATTACCAGCGGCCAAAACAACAGTATTTTTCACGGATAAACATGAAATTTCAAAGGACCCCACTCCCTTTGCAGAGCATTTGCCTCCATCAAAAGACTAGTTATTGTCAAAATCTCCCTTTAGTGAGATCAAGTCAAACAGATCCGTTGAGCGGGACTGGATTTTAGCTGAATTCCAGTTTGCTTTGAGGAATGTGCCCTCCTGTGGCTATCTGTTACAGCTGCAGCAAACGTGCTCCTTTGCGAGCAGGCTTAGTTTCTTCTCTTTCTTAACCAGCAGCTTTCTCAAATAAGGCTCCTTCCCCCAGACCCACCCCGATACCGTCCAGGCTGAGAGCGGTGAGATCTGGCTTATGCAACAGCTTGCAAGAAACAAGGAAAAATTAATTCCAGCGATCAGCTTGACACAAGAGGTGACAGACAGGTCCCTAATTAAAAATAACAGCCCTGTGATTACTCCCCGGGTTCCCAGGAGGGAACTGGCTAGCTTCCAAGGTTTTTAGGACTTTGTCAAAGGTTGTCCGCTGGGCATTATCCAGCATTTCAGGATATTGCTGGCAGGGTAAGGCAAGACAGGGAACCTCTGCTTTGGGTTTCATACAATAACTGACGCTTCGGAAAGAAGAAGAGCACGTCCGAATGTGTTTTACATTTCTTCTGCAGAGGAACAGATGCCGTGAAGCGGAGCATCGTGCCCCAAAAACTAAAGTGGTAACAGAGCTGCAACAGCGTGTTGCAGGTGATACTAAACTGGGAAGGATTGCAGGCACTTCTGAAGGATTTCGTTAGGCTCTTAGTAAATTTGAGGGATGACTCAGAACCAACGTGCTGCTATTCAATGTGGCCAAATGCAAAGTACGGTGCTTAAGGAGGAATAAGTGAGCACAGTATTGCAGGATCAAAAATAACTATTTACGTAGCACTTCTATAGGGAAGGCCTGGTTTTTTCTTACAGAAAAAAACAGAGGGTTGTTTCATTTAGAAAACAATAGATTGAGGGAAGACATGAGAACAATCTTCAAACACATCAGCAGGTGCTATTAAGAAACAGATATTAATCTGGTCTCCATTCCCCATGGTAAAGGTGGATGTTTATGTGCATTAGACGACTTCTCAAAAACTATTCCATCTCTATTTTCTATTTTACTTTTTATTAAGCAATGACACCCTCATGTAAAGGTTGATCTTTTTAAATGTCCTTGGCTTAAGGGTCTACAACTCATTAAGAGAGCGACTTACTTTTCTTTGGAGCTTCTCAAAATCTCACCCGGCATGTCCTCGGTGCTCAGACACACAACTCTGAATTTTTCCAGTATAACTCTCGTAGTAACCTGTCGAAAGCAGGTATACTAACCCCAAATCTGTGGACAGACCAAATGCTAACCAGCAAGTCCCGTCTCTCCAATTTATATTGCCTCACTCAGTCACTTTCTCTCCGTCTCTCGCTTTTCCAGTAACTCCTTTCCTGATACGTTAGGTAAAAACTAATCATCCTGCGGCGTTTGGAGCTGGCTGTGTTATTGGAGTCTCCATGG